ATATATATATATATATATATATATATATATATATATAAAATGAGATTGAATGAGCTGAAATCATTCATGGAAAAGAAACACACCTCTCAGAACTATTAAGGCAACTTAATAGTTCCAATAGGATTTCCAGGCATCAGCATATTTTAACATTGTTTAGAAGATTCTATACAGCATCCAGGTTCAAGGTCAGCCACTAAATCCAGAGATTTGCCCACAAGCCTGTATTCTTTTATCGCTAAACAGTATTTCAAATTCTGCCATATCTCCTATGCCAAGATGGAGAAAATTTTCATAAAATCTCTTTGCATTGACACAATATTTGGATGTTACATAAAATTAGGACAAAAGATTCATATAAGTACATGATACATGAAGCAGATAAAGAGAAATAAAGTCTGTTGATTTCAGATACTCAATAACTTCTATGAGGATTTAGACATTTGAATATGTATCATTTATATCTTTGCTACAACATGCTGCATTATCAGTGCTGTTAGTTAGAAATATTAGACATTTATGATTCAGCTGGGTTTTATTTATTTCACAAATACTTGGTGGTGCTTTATGCCTGATGCAAGCATGACTCCACAATGCACCAAAGACAAAGGAAATACACAGCAACGGTGCTTTATAGAGCAACCAACGTCATTCAATAATGTGATTGCCTTTTCCTATTATATATTATTTCACAATGCAGAATATATGCGTTTTCTACTGCTGAATAGCAAACTCTCCTACATTCAGAGCTCCTGCCTACCATGAATCTCTATATTCATAAATCCATGTATTCTTTAACAAGCCTCTGTGAACTGATTTAGTTGTGTGCAGTAACACATTCAAACACCCTTGTCAGTTCAGATAGCATGTATCATTAACAGGGTAATTGAAATAATAAACCTGTAGGCATCCGTAGGATTTCAAGAATATATTTACAGGATATAAAGTCAATGAATGATAGAAGTAATTTTTCTTTGCTAGCCCCACTCAAATTATTGTTTGCAAAATTTAATGTTGATTTTCAAAAGAATTGATGCTCATAAAAAGCAAAAGATCATCATTTGCTATCAACTATTACAGTGATGTCCATAAATCAATGGATAAATTCCAAGTGATACACCAATGTGAATAAAGTCAAGAACATTAAGGCTACTGAAACTTGGAGAGGCATTCACAGAACTCTTTGCCCAAGTACAGTGTTTTCATCTTTTCAGTGAGCAAAGCCTTTGGAAAAATGATTTTAATTTTTTTTTCAAAAAACTACTCAGATATGATAAATGTCATATGTAAGTTAAGATCAATAATGGATTTCAAAAAAGGTTAAAAAAGGTGAACAGATAATTAAGTCATCTTCTATAAATACCATGCTTTATTTGACAGTTTGAAGCAGTCTTGCTGTGTTTTTAAGGTTTTTTTTCAAGACTAAATTATTGCTTCACTCTCATTAGTGGTGGGTATTAATCCATATATTACGATCACACAAAGCATCAGAGTGTAGCTTTTTTATGCGATTAGAATATCAAAACATCACCTAAAATGTATCAAATATCTTTTGATAATTGAAATATAATCTATTTAGATTTGATCCAGTTCTATAAGAACTTTAAGATCATTCACCAGATTCCTTGTTACTGGATATATCTTAGCTACATTTCAAATATTTATGTTTATTTTTTCATTGTAACTGAATTTTCATATTCAGCCAAGGCTAGCCTTGAACTTGCATTAATACTCCTGCCATAACCTCCCAAGTCTTAGGATTAAATACATATCCCCACATACCCAGTTTAACCATTTAATTCTCAGTTCTCAGAGTATCTCACATGTGAACATGTCTTATAAACAAGGGTTCTGATAGCCTTTAGTTTTATGTGATCCTCTAACATTGTTTCTACATAAAGAGCTTATGAAAAGAGGGATAACATCTGTGCTGGAATAGAGTAAGGAACGCGGGTCTATTATTTTCCATCGTAATAATTAAAATTATATATTTGTTTAGAACATCCTACGAAAGAGTTTTGTTGGTACTGCTGTTCTTTAGATCACAGTACCTGGAATAGGATAGAGCCTTACTATGCAAGGAAATCCATGAGACACACTTTCTTCTGCTTCTTGGAAAATCAAACCATTCCCAGAAACACTTTAATGGACACATTAAGCCGAGCAAAGAGGTTTGCTGTTAATTGCTATACTGATGTTTACTTAGAATTTGTGGAAGGTGTCTATTTAAATAAGTAAATCTTGCAACCTTGGTCAGTCCTGGTCCCACTGCCAACCCCACTCCTCCCAACTGATCAAGGCACTTAACTGTTACCCATATTCAGAGAAACTAGTTTGGTTCCAGGCAGGTTCCCCAGCTGTCAGTCCAGAGTCCACGAGCTACCACTAGCTTTGTCAGCTGTCTCTGTATTGTTTCCTATCATGCTCTCGATTTTTCATGCTCAAATGATCCCTCCTCACTTTCATTTATTGAACTCCAGGAGCTATCTTCAGTGCTTGTCTATAGATCACTGATTATGCTTCCTTTGATGGCTCCTCAACGGAGAGACCTTACTCCCTCTGAGAAGAGGGTGGGGTTTGGGATGGGGGAAGGCGAGGGGCCTAGGAGAAATGGAAGAAAGGGGATCTGGGATTGGGATGTAAAAATGAGTGTTAAATAAAAAAGTAAAGAGAAGGAAATCTTGTTATAGTAAGACTGAAAAGGAGGAATGGACTTTGTGTAAAAAATAAATTGATTATTGGTTATTTGTTAAAAAAAATAGTATGTATTATCCTGTTCTGGAACTAGCTGTTATAGACCAGACTGGCCTCAAACTCAAAGAGATCTGCCTGCCTCTGCCTCCCGAGTGCTGGGATTAAAGGTGTACGCCACCACTGCCTGGCTATTTATTAGTATTTTAACAATATAGTTTGCATTGTAGTGTGGTCTTAGTGTCATTGTGGATATCTGTTTTGTGCTAGCTTATTCCTAAAAATAGCATTGTGCTGAAAATACCTTGGTTTGGACTTATGCTATTTTTATAAAGAGCTGATATTTGCAAAGAAAAAGAAATGAAAAGTTGTCATTTGTCTTTTTACACTAGTCCTAGACAATACTAATCATATTAACCATTTTGACCAATTATTTGAAGGTCCTATTGCTTCAAATGAACCAGTTAAGAGTGATTTTTAACTAAATATTCAAGGGGAGATGTGACTGTTGTGATTGTTATGAAAGTGATAAAAGTAATCTTGAGAATATGCAAATAATTAAAAAGAAAAAAAAATGATGATGATCTCTCCATC